TTTATTATTTATTATTTATTATTTATTATTGGTGGAGTTATCTTTTCTGCTAACTTAGATCGGAATGGGGTGTGCTCCCTATGCACTTAGATCATCATCCTATGTAGGGATCTTGGCTGGCCTGGACTTGGGAGGTGGCAAAGACTTCTTTGTACAGTATTTCAATTTCAGCATCTTCTTTTGAAAACCCCAATGTTTTCATTTATCTCTGTGTATTATTATAGGCGTGATCCCCGCTGAGTCCAGCTTTTCTTTACACGCGGTCCTTGTTGAACATTTCCTCGGAGGTGGGTGGTATCCTCAAGGAGGTGCCAGTGAGATAGTGTTTCACTCCATCCCCATCATTGAAGAAGCTGGCGGGGCTGTCCTTACCAAAGCACCAGTAGAGAGAATCTTGGTGAATTCACAAGGGAAAGCCTACGGTGAGTTAGACTGGGTGAGGAGGGACCTCTCTGGACCCGTGGGCTCCTGTAGAGACTGGGCTGTGAATGAAGAAGTCTGTGACTCCTAGGTATTGTTAAACTGCAGTTTCCATCGGCTTTAACTAGCATAGCGAATGCTTAGAATGATGGGCATTGTAGTCCAACAGCTGGAAGTTGACTGCATCCTCTTAGAAGCATTCCCCCGTTTTTTGTACATAAACAAGAGATCACACTTTTTGAAGAGGTACTTGCCTTCTCCAGTTTTTTAATGCTTTGTGTGAAAACTGATTATAAGATTAGAATTATAAGAACTGCTCAATAGAGCCATACATTTTATTAAAATGTGCATAATAGATTGATCTAAAGCCCTGGTTGTCTAACTTGGTTCACTTGCATACCCCTTGGTTGCCCATTCCATAAATTGTACCCCCTCACCATTCACCAAAATAGCCAAGCAGCACATTTCTTATGTCAGCTCACTCCTCACCCGTAGGCTTCCACTAAGCCCTGGGCATCATCCAACGGGGTTCCTTCCCCCACCTTCTTTTCTTTCTCAAAGGAACTGGCATGACACAACCCACAGAAGCTGCAGCCTTGCCCTACCAGCCCCTCTTCTCTTGTATGCCAAACCCACCCCAGTCTGTGAAATTTGAGTTGGCCTATAAGACCACCAATTCACTGCTCGATGCAGATATCCAAATCAAAGCAGATCTGGCAAGTTGTTGCCCGGTTTTCTCTTGAATGTCTCTAGTGTTGGAGCTCTCACAAGGTAATTGGTTTCATGGTTGTGGTGTTGTAACTGTCAGGAGGTTTTTCCTGATATTCAGCCAAAATCTAGTTTCCTGTATCATGAGCCCATCTGTTTAATTTACA